TGCGTGTGTTGTCATACACAAGTGATGAGAGGGTAACAGCGTTAGATTTTTTTATTACAGCTTGATTCCACACCGTATTTTTGGTACAAGTATGGAATTTTCACCATGGGATATCGGTAGACTAAATTTTGCAGGCCAATCGTAGATATCAGGTGTCAGGTGTACGTCGGCAGGGGATCAGACCTTGGACCATGTACATGGTCGGCAAGAGTCCTAACCGCTGTTCCACCGACTCATTTGAACAGTAAATACCTCTTAAGACTCGGAACGGTACAGTAGGTTAAAACTTTTAAACACTGATGGGCAATCGAAATGAAATAAAGTTATAAAAACATACACAGGCGATATTATTAAATGACACACGGTCAGTGGGTGAGTTACCCACTATGAGAATTCTAAGGCATACAGTTCATTTCGTATTCAGTGAATAAAAGCAAGTTCTAGGTTTGTCTGACAATAATTACGGTCTCAGTGAATACCAATGAGAATCATTTTGATATCAATTACCATACAGAAGAGCACATCAGTTTTATTTATGAAAAGTATTTACCACTGCTAGACTTTATAAAAGTATTAAAATTCAGTCAGTGTTTGTGAAACTGATTACATCTGTCTTACTCATAAGGTTCAATGTTGAAACCGTCTCTCTCACTAACCATCATTCATTAGTTTTTCCATCAACTTCCAATGTGAATGATCATTCTAGTAACACTCTTCCACATTAATTTGGAAGGTTTTTAGTGCATATGAGGCATAATGCACAAAGACATAGTTCGTACCAATATTTGAATAAACATTTTAAGATTACATCAGGGCAAGAGAAGTGAGGTGTCATTTTATTCATAGTAGTAGTGATCAGAATTAATCATCTCCTAATTACGGTGGCAATCTATGACTAAATTATAATAACCTCTTGTTAGTAAGTTGCAGATGAATACAGTTCCATATGAAGACTTTGAATATGTGAAGCAACTTTTTCATTTGTTGAGTTTCAATCTTCTTCAGATAGGGGAAACAGGACAAAAAAAATTTAATATAGTTTACATACACAATTCATGGTTTTCACTAATATACACGGAATAAACAGCAAATCTTTGAACCAATCAAGCTTATCTTGGCTAATTTCTGAATATTGTTTTAGTGATAGAGGAAAAGCTGCCTAATAAGGGTAGAGAAGAATGGCTTCGCAACACATCACTTGCTTAAACTCTCGAGCATCTACTGGCTATATTAAGGGTTTACTGATGATGTGATCTGGTATGCAAATACATAGACAGATTAAATTATCGTAACTGATAAAAGAAATGTACCACTTTATGATTGAGGAACATAAACACCCTACTACAGTTACTAAGCGTCAACTGATTCATATGAACTAATATACTACAGTTGCTGAAGTTCTGTTAGCTTTAAATCATTTGATTTTTCATTGGTCAACAAAATCACCTTTCAAATAACAGAGTAAACGACTATTTATAAAAGAAGGCATTCGCTTGTTGTGTGGTAAAAATAAAATAGGATTTACAATTCAAATTCTATTTTAGCTTCAAATATAACGTTTCACCTAATTATTTGCTTGTAGTAAGCATAAAAATAAGATTTCCAACACATTTGGTTTACCATTGATGTTAAAACTATGTTATAAGTCTCGAGAGGTAGTATTGGTGTATCTTTATTTCCTTTTCTATTCAGCGGCATAAAGTTGCTACTTAACCATATTCGATTGACAAAATAAAATGTCATCTGAGTCTGGAACGATCTTCTCTTCACTCTTAGTTGCATTAATCAGCAGAGTGACACACACACCTTGTTTTTGAAAGTTCAGGCATTTTCATTGTTAATTATAGTAGTGATAAGGTGTGTCTCCAGTTCAGTGGTAGAGTGCCGGTTAAAAAAAACAAACGCACTGAAAGTTTCAGTCATCAACTGATCAGCTACTTACTACACTTTAGCCACAAATATTTTGTGGCTGAGTTTTAACAATAAGAACCAGCAAAGCTATCAAATTAGGCGGTAACTTTGGAAACGTATCCTTCACCGGATTGAACAGTAGGTATGGGCTGACACTATCAGCCCTGGAGCAATATTATTCGAATTTATTATGACAAAATCCTTCGATTTTCACTTCACTTATGATATTGTGTATCTGAAGAGTTTATAAACGCATGCGTAATATCTTTATGCATAACTAAGAATTATTGTTTGCATGAAACACTATGAAAATAACTCCAAAAAATTGGACAGTGTCGGATGCGTTAGGAAAATGTGTCTATAACATTAAACAGCAGACGCTGTAATGAAAGATGGAGTGAACAGAAGAATAAAAGAGTCAAAACAATAATAACTTGTAAGTGGTGTAATGGAAAGGGGAAATTGTCAGAATTTTACAGTCAAGTAATGTTGGCCCTGGTACGGAAAGTATCTGTACGAATTTCTTCTGAACATAGAGGATAGACTTCAGTATGCAAAAGATGATTTCTTTAAGCAAAGTTTAGACTAGTTGAGATACTATAGATAGCTTTAAATGCCATGTTAACATCAGCTTTATGCTCAGTATCCACAAGGTGTGCTAAAAACAAAGATGGGAATTGACTTTACTCAGCCGTTGTTTACCAATGCAGAATGATGTTTGAAAACCTGATGATGAACATACCTACTTTTATATGCAAGGTAGCCCGATGCTTAAGGACAGTTAAGCTGGGATATCCACATACAGGAGGCGAAACAGAGCAGTTTGTCCATATATCTCGAAAGGAGAACTGAAGAGACGGCGTACCTCATCTTTGATTAATGCTCTTCTTACTGCATTCTTCAGGCGTTGTGTGACTATTGAGCAGATTTTATCACCAAGAAACTACAGTATTATTAATAAGAGCTTCTTGAAAGCTTTAGCCACACTGATTCAAATTTTTAACAAGGAAAGTTTCTGTATAATTTTTTTAGGAGACATTAACTGATAATATTACGATTCCCACGAGTGAATTACAGTTTCTCTGCAAACCAAACACCTCAATAAACTGCATTTACAAAGGTGCAAAACTCAAAGAATCAGTATACTGACGCTTTGATGCAAGTTTTCTATGTGAATTTGTACTACTTTTTTTATTTAAGTCTTGCACATTCTTGAGCAAATTTTCGTTAAAAACTGCTGACCCCAATGTCACTTATTCACCTAAGTATTTTAACTTAAAATGAGATTGGTGTTCACCCTGACGTACAAAGCAGTCAAATGGGTGTAGTAACTCACATCATTACCAGATATGAAACACGTGTCTCGGTTAGTGAGTGAAGCAGTTATACATGAAAGAAAACCGCTTCTTGTTTTAATGGTCTTGTACTGCATTTACATAGAAATAAACTTCACAAAAAACTCAGAGCAAATAGTAGATACAACGTTTGTAGTTCAGCGGTTGGAGGCTAATCAACCACACATGTGATACAGGGTTTGATCGCTGCCCAAAGCATTGGTTATCCACCTAACCGGTAGAAAGCTCAGGGTAGGTTTGGCATGAGTCCATCAACCTCACTCCGTAAGAAAAACCACTTTTGAGACTTCAAGGCATTTGGTCTGAAGTCTGTGCTTCACTTATAACCGAAGCAATGAGAGAATATAGTAGATTGAACCATAAATATTATTTCAATGAAAAATTAGAACACGTTTGCATTACGAATAGACTTAGTCAATAGTTGCATAGGAATCTGAACTTCAACAGGTGATAACGAACTATTAAAAAATCGAAATTAAAGCGAGCTTAACGTTCTACGAGAGTAAGATTCTATATCTGCCTTCATTGAGAATTTTAGTAACATTCGATTGTAAAGTAAAAGTTCAAAATACCTATTGAATGGATGGTGAGTGTGACTTGTATGCCCTCTATATGCTTCTAAGTGAATCCTGTAAGATCATTACCCTGTTGTATGATTCACCGTTTTCAACATCGTCTGAAAGTCGGTGAGTTTTAATACAAGAATTTTTCTTATGATATATTTCGGCTTTATTGCCAGATGCTTAATATTTGCTGCTAAGTATTCTTGCAAGAGGTTGAGCATGAATACTTCACAGAAATGAATTGCAGTAATCAAACCAATTTGTATTTTTTTAGACTGGCTATTAGCTTTCAATTTAAACAGTTCAAGAAGTTGAAATTTCACCTCAGTTTCTTTTAGAAATCAAGAATACTCATATCACACTATGTGATCTGTTCGATACCATAAAGTGATCATCAAGAAGACAAGCGTATTTGTATAAAACTATACATAGCACTGGTTGATTGAAATGCTCAACTGAATACCACTGACATTAACCAGTTGAGACGGCTAGCCAGTGAGATGAAATTGATCTGAAAAATAAAATGTCAGTTTCATTTGTTTGCCAGTTCCGTAATCCTTATCAGTTCAAACCACTCGATTTCGGAACGTTTCGGCTGTCTGAGCTAAGTCAAACCAAATCAAGTACATCGTTGCCGTAAAAAAGCGAAACTACCATCAAGTGTTTAGATCACTTTGATCTGGTTGGTTAGCAAGCTTAACTGGTTGATGTCAGAGATATACAACTACTCATCTCAATCAGTCAGTAGTATATAATTGGTTATACGCAATTATCCAATCATCATAAACTCCCAAAGATATCCAAATCAAAAAACACCATCAGTATCTATGGTTAAAAAAAAAATACTCTAAGTAGCACAAGTCGCATTGGTCCTTATTCACTGGACGGGTTGTTTCCTTCTTATACTAGTGCTCACGCGTATGCGTTTGTGTGTGTGTGTGTGGATTAGTTTATCGTATCATTTGTTGAGTTTAGCATACTATGATTAACATGCTCCAACACTTAGGGAAACATACTCGCGTGTTAAAGGAACACGCCTTTACTGGTGATAGAAACATACACACCCACATGCATACATCATTGTGTGTATGCATAAACTGGGAATTATATATATATATATATATATATATATATATATATATATATATATATATATATATATATATAGTAGTTTCAAAGTGAAACAAGTAAAAATTTTATTGAACGTAGAATCAATTAGATCAATCAACTCATACATCTTTTTTTGACGATACATAATAAAGTCACAGAAAATAGAAAACGATGTTTTTAACCGGAGAGAAAGTGATGACAGATTTAGACTTAAGCAATAAATAATTACATTCAGCCAGTTAAAATAAAAATTACACGCATTTTCGAGTTGATCTGCTACTGCTTTTTTCCCCCTGATAAATTGCCAGTGAATGCAAATTATTTTTCCTCATCTATGCACAACTGCTTGAATTCGCTGCTGTCTTCGTGACAGTCGTCATTGACAACAATAGCAAAAACGCAAAAATTAAAACCAAAGAATAAGAATAATTACAATAAACAACAGATAGAAGACATCTCAATCAAATAGATGAAGATAAAACTGATTTTTCAGGTGAGTTCATATAATTTGTTGATTTCTGATTGTTGACTATTATGTGTACTAGTCATATTTGTTGTGTTATTATTATCATGGCGTCGGTGGCACAGCGGTTATAACGCTCGCCTATCATGCACATGGTCCGGGGTTCGATCCCTTGCCGACGCACACCTGACATCTGATATCTACGATTGGCCTGCAAAATTTAGGCTACCGATATCCCATGGTGAAAATTCCATACTTGTACCAAAAATACGGTGTGGAATCAAGCTGAAATCAAAAATTTTTAAAAATCATATAAACTCTGTTTGATACTTTTTTTCATGAAATGATAAGTTTTTGGAAAAAAACAGACTTGATTCGTGTTGGATTAGTGTAGCTTAGGAGTGATATTCTTAAATGTAACACTGTGCCACATAGATTGAAATGCTGGCAGTAGGGTAATTTTTCATGAAATTTCAGATACACTGTACTCATGAATGACAACAAAAAAGAGTAAAACAAACTTTAATTCACCGCTTACAGGCAGTTGTTCCCGGATATTCAAAATCGAATTATTGAGGCAAACGGTGGCTAAAACAACTTCCCCTATAGTCAGATGGTGATTGTTAAGAAAGTATATGTGTATGTAGTCTTGACAATGCAAAATAAATTATTTATTAAGAACTCTAAGTGAAATGAACTGTGTTAGGGAAATTTAAGATACTATGTAACAGAAAAAAGTCATAAGTAATGGAAAAGTTTGCTCCCATTCTGTTACTTTAAACATCTAGACAGCATTTGCAATGACCTAAAGAAAGAGAAAATTTTGTTATGAGTTAGTGTCTAAGCAAAATAAATGACTTTCTACGATGCTACCAAAATGAAGTTATCTCCGTATTGGTATTTGGGCGTTGGTTTTCAACATCATCAGCAATAACGTATGCAGCTGCAGAGCGTGTCTCTTGAGAATTGTCCAGCTCTTGAATAACAGTGTTTCCAGTGACATTTAAACAAGTCAACAGAATTAATTATGTAATACGAACGGTGGCTTCTCTTCTTTTTCTTCTTCGATAACTCATCTATTATCTGCTTTCTTTTTATGGAAATTCATAAGGGATGTTCATCACTAACAATGTAACTTATTCAATGCTCTATTCGTTGGTCTTTTAGTTTCTTGACAAATTTTATTTCTATTTTTGATTAGGTAGTTAATCTCTAGTTAGTTCATTGTTATTTTTATGCATCAGATGTTTTGAAAAATTTATTCTTCTCAAACAGGCGCAAGTCCTCATTTCCAAAAGGGATAACTTCAAACCACAAATGAATGTGTATATGGCGATTTATTTCCCTCTATTATATGTTATGCGTCTGTGGCACAGCGGTAGGATGCTTGCCAACTACACATGTGGTCAGGGGTTCGATCCCCGGCCAACGCACTGCTTTACCTCACCAACCGAGCAGTTCGACTGGTGTAGAGGGAAGGTTGGGCATGTGGCTAGAAACCCCATCCCGTAAAAATAATCACCACTGCTACTGAAAATTCAGGCCTCTAGCTTGAAGCCCTATGTTCCACTTGGAACGTAAAAGAATTTTTAAAAAGTTAAATGTTATGCGGGTAACTGTTTATATTGTTACTGTCATATAAATGTTAAGCTTTGCTAGACTAATAAATTTTCAAGGTAAATTTCCGATGAAATATTCAAGGGGTATTGAAGAATTTTCCGTTTTTCTCAGGTGATTTCAACAAAATTTGCGATAAATATCACAGAACAGTCATTAAATGGTAAACGTGCACATCATTCACTTTAGCTAAAGACTGACCTTTAGTCACCTACCCACTCTTCGAGTTATTTATTTTTGACATTTTTGTCTGTGATAACTGAACCAGGAGAGAACTATCAACCATTGCGTAGTATGTGTATGCTTGGTTACTGAAGTGAATTTGAACTGATGGACAAACCACTTAAAGTTGATGTAAACTCTCTCTGATGCTTGCTATAAGGCCTAATTAGCATGGCAGGTACTTCTAAATATGAAGGCAACACTTTTAATTCATTCAAATCCAAGCTTGATTACAAGTCGTAATCCTTGCTACTATCAAAACTCTCAACGAGTATTGAGAATTATAACCGAAGTTTTTTATGATGAAAAAAGACGCCTGTCATTACTGTCAAATGATATCATCAGGTGGAAACACGTGCGAGTAAAAAGTAACCTCAAAGTGAGACTAATAGATTAATTACTTTGGCTGTACACATTTTCATGACTCAATTCACAACTAGATACTTACCACAACTAAAATTTGACTTATTTTGTAAGGGATTATTCACAGTAAAATAAGTACTCAGTGCGAACACCCAAATATTTTGTTCGGTTAACTCAGAGTCCAACTTCAACATATTATAGCTGATTTCTGGTAATTAGGTGATGCAATTTTAATTTCAGTACCTTAACAAATCTGAGTGAAACTCGCTAACAGATATGATTAACAACTATCCTATTCAGACACTCTCATAAGGTTAAACCCATTTATGACATACTTTAGAGAATGTAGGTATTAGTGTTTGCTGTGAATCAACGTATTCCTCAAGAAATACCGTAACAACAAAACCCTTTTTACAAGTCTACTATTATTTGTTTTTATTTATTTCATTCACTTGAGTCCCTAGAGGAATATAGGGTATCAAGTTTGAACTTAGAAGTTTCGACAAGAAAGGCGTTTCTTTTCATCAAGTGTCTATATACGAATATTATAAACTTTTGCAAAATTAAAGAGAAATGTATAGTCGCAATCATCATATATGGAAAACTCAGACAGCGCTTCTTTATCGAAGTTGTTCAAACACGAATAAATGTGACAATTTAGTTAAGCACTAAGTACTCTAAAGATTATATTTAAACAGCGCACACTAATAGAAAGACTATGCATCAATCTATTATAACAATGAAATGGAGAAAGAACCTGGAGGCACAATGTAAGAATAAAATAACTCCTTAAGGATTAGTCACATACACGTTTGTTCTATGCGTCATCATTCGACTTCCCCGTTGATCAGTATGACTTTAAGACTGACGTGTAAGAATGATTTCTCAAAGATTACTGGCAGTGAGTCGGTGACATTCACTGTTAAACTGAACAGCCTTTTAACACTACACATCAACCATTCGGCGTTGAATGATTGTAAAACAGAATTGTAGAGATAAACATTTAAAAGTAATTACAGTCGACTTTATTCACTACATCAGTTAAATATAATATTTTTGAAAATTGTACCCGGTATAATCAGCATCGATGATTCTCACTCTGCACTGTAATAATCTATAATTGTTGGAATTATGTGTGTAACATACAATAGAGTATAAATTAAATGCAGTTAGAAACTGACACTAGACAAACACATATAACCATAGTAACTAAAACAAATAAAGAACAGCCCTTTTTACTTAAAATTGAAGCATGGATTTATTTAATTTGTTTTAATCTCATGTAACAAGTAATACATGCTACGCATATCCTGATTAATTTCGACTTACTACTAATTTAAGCTGTGTACTGCTGGTAAAAGCAAGTGAATTTAATCCTTTTGATAATGTGTTCAAATCAAGTCCGCCTATTTAGGTTTCCTTACAGAAGTATAAATTATTCTCAAACGTCGGGTTTGAATGCATGTAAGTAATTTCCAGGAAATGTTTCTTAATCAGTTGTCATCAGTTAAAGAATCCGCGAAAACCAGTTAGTACTGTACAGGTGTCTCTCTCTGGTTTCAGATATTTCATGCACCCAGGCTTCTAAAAATGATCGAATTTGATACCCTTTACGTCCTAGGGCTGGTCTGTCACTGGTTCAGCATCTAATTAGTTACGAATAGTGATTTGTCATTTTGCGACTGTTTTGCCCTGTCACTCTAAAACCACACTTATTTGACTGACTTGGCCAAGGTTCACCATCAAAAATCTGGAAAAGCCGTCCTGAAGTTAGTTGCTAGGAGCACTTAACTTATTTTCCAGTGTTAGTATATGGGTCTTCATTGGTAACGTTTAGATGGTGGTGGAGCTATGTCATGAGCTGATAAGAGTTGTAATTCGTAAATCACTTTATTCTAACCAAATAACTGGATAGTAGCGTAGTCCGAAAGTTTTTAGATCGATAACTGGTGGAAAAGAGAGTGCACAGTGTTTACAAGTCTTAAGCCAGAACAAAATAGATGTTTAGGGTTCAGTACTTTTTGCGGTTTTTCTAATTCTTATCAGTTCACAATTAAATCTCGATGAATTCGTACCTATTATTAATAATAGTGGTCATCATAATACAAGTTTCGATAATCAATCGGTGATGACAAGTGTTTCATTTTCTTCTATTTGCTTAGCATAGTAAAGAAATGCGTACTATGAAGTATAATAACAAATAGTGTGCAATACGCAATAAAAGTTGTAATATTTTATTCTGTAAAACAGTCTCAGCTAAAAAGTATCAAAATTTTACTCAGTTTAATGGCAAAATACAAGATGCACATTTCATCCCACTTAGGACGCATCAACTGAATTTTCCTACATCCTGATGAATGATTTGGTTCACACCAGGACTTGGATCCAGCAATTTTCATCTCGAGGGCTAAAGAATCTTAAAGATAAATTGTCATTATTATCACTGGGATCGAATTTATTATTATTATTGTTTATCATAGTGATATTTCATCTTATGTTCTCACTTCTCTCTGTAAATCTTACTTATAACTGACTAATAACATGCTGCATTGATCTCGTTATGCTGCTTCCTTGTTTTGTGTCCATCGAGATTATATAATGAATAAATTTATTTTATGTCACTTTGCAGAGCTTAAAACTTCGTGTGATGAATTGTTAATCTGTGGATAATGTTGATAATGATAATAATTATAAAATGGAGTATAGGTTGAGAATGTTCGTGATCACTGATGTCAATTACTGTTTATTTTAGCCACTTCAGCATATCCCTGTAAAATCAGTACAGATTGTTGACAGTTTGTTTTGAGAATAATTTGACTTCAAGGGTT